CCCCAAGCCAGCATATGGGGAGTTGGGGAATTCTGGGAGTTGAAGTCCACACGTCTTAAAGTTGCCAAGATTGAGAAACCCTGTTCTAAACAATAGATTCAAACAACAATGAATTGAACAGAAGCATATAGTTCCAATAACATGGGGAAAGTACCATCATCCCATATTGATGGCATGAAACAGCCTTGCTTTCCTCGGTCTAAACAAAAATCTAACTCAGCTACTTCTTCTCTTGCAAACTTTCTCTTTAAGAAGCCAACAGCATTCAAGCATGCAATCACAAGTCCAAGGAGTCAATTCACAAGGCACTGTTTATTGCTGAAGCCCACTGCAGATGTTATTCTCCACATGTGAAGACAGCAGGGCCACCTCTGCCAAGCATGCCCCCATCACCTTTTTCCTGATGATGCAGGACTAGAACTCTTAGCAGAGCTAAGCCAACGCTGCTCTCTCTGGATTTAGACACACATCTTCACTAAATCCCTCCAGGGACTTACCTGCATTGGCGTTTCTTGTTCATTTCAACATTTGTGGAGTGGCATGTGGAATTTAGATTAGCTTCTAACTCTGTGTTTGGGGGCAGAAAGACCATTACAAACCACCACGTAAATAGTGAATGTACACTGAAAAATGACTCAAGTAGTGATAAAAACCAAATTAATACTAAATTAATACCCATAGTCCTATGAACATGCTCTTTTCTATCAGATTCTTAACATGGATCTTTTAGAAATTAAAATCCTGGCTTACGTAAGACTATTGGCTGAATCCACTTTCCCACTACAATGGGAAGAGATATGTTCAATCTAGTATTTCATCTGGACAGGAGTCATTCATAACGGCAGGGGACGCGGCATTGTACCGAAGTAACGTAAGGTTCTCTACAGTTCTAAGACCATACAGAGTCCTGCTGTACTTTTTAAGACTCACTATTAGGGCATAAACTTTCATGAATTGCAGGGCACTGCATCAAACACAGAGAATGTGTCCTGAAAGAGGATGGTTGTATATGCACAAATTTGTTGTTGGGAGAAAAGGAAGGAAAAATAAACACAAAGGTTCAAACTGGCATTTCCTCCTTCCCTCCCAACATAGGATTTGTGTATATATAATACTCTTCTCCTACACTCTACGCTCCTGATTCATGGCCCAATTGCAACTGACTCTGGGCTTGAACTATTCATAGAAAAACAACTTGGATGCAATACAAGCAGCGCTGAAGTTAAGTTCCTCTGAAATGAACCATGCAGGAATAGCATAGTTGACTGGACAGACTCAAAGGCACCAACAAGTGTCACTGTCCCACCCAAATCGTGTCACTCTCCTGAACTAGTAGGCACAGATCAATAAAGACACATACTCTAATATGCATTTTCTTTTTTATTTCAACACTATGATTCAAGAGCCTATAATGCTTTTCCCTTTGTACTTCTGCACGTAGCACTGCAATCATAACTTACAAAAGGTTTAATACACAAATGTACATGAAATTACAATACAAGGCTCTGTAAACATCTAGAATGTAACTTTTAGTCTTAAATCATTATTGTCCCAAACTGTTAAATAGAAAACTTCAATTTGAACAATCTCCAAACCTCAAGGAATGACATTCATTCTATGTATCAAAAATAGAGTTTTCCCAAGATTTGTTTGCATTCAAACAGTTGTTTTCTCTTTTATTCTTTGGTTTATAATGGATGGCAATTCCATTTTCTAATGAAGCATTTATTAGGAGTGCCAAATTGTGGTCAAACTTTGCATAAATGAAGCATTTATTAGGAGTGCCATAAGTCGTCAAACAAAACAACTTTCAAATGGGCAATATACAGTATATCTCACCTCCTTTGAATTACAAAAGCCTCCACTCTTTTGTTATGAAAGCTACTATTTGAACGCTTTCCATAATATTTTAAGAAACTGGACACCCGCATAGAAAGCAATTGTAAATTTGGAGGCAGGAGAGGCCAGCAACATAGATGCCAGTCACAGGCAGAAAATTGTAAATTGCATAGTCTAACGGAGATCATGTGCTTTTATCTCTATTACATTACACAAGATTAACAGTCTTATCTAAAGCATCACACAAGCCATATATATATATATATATAAAAAGACCCTTTTATATATATATAAAAAGACCCTTGTATTGAAGCTTTTACAAGGCAAAAACAACCATTATAGTACTCAACTTCTATAGCTCTGCTTTAAATAGGAAAGCATTTCTACATCTACAGGCATCAGGTATTTCAAGGCAACAGAAGGTTGAAAACAATCCACTAGTCCCATTGCTGCAAACTCTCCAACTCCTTCAGTATTGACAAGAAGCTCTGGGGTTCATCTTGCCAAAATGGGGAGAAGCGCTCATACTGCAGTGCTAGGTGGATTGCTCCCTTAGTGCATAGTAACTTGAGACTGTTTGGGTGCCCACATTTTAGGTACAATACAAATTCACACTACTCGGGAGGACTTTAAGGGAGAAGAGGGGATACCATCAACTATCAAGGAGCGTAACATCTCAGAGCACAAGAAAACTCTGAAACTTCACATCTCCCTATAGTGACTGTAGGGAGACCCACTTTCTATGGGAGTACAAAGACAACCTTGAAAAAGGAATGCAAGAACCGTTAAATAAATGTCAACTTAACCTTGGGAAGGAAGAGGGGGTGAGAAAGAAACTCAAAATAATTCTGCCTTGATTCTCTTGGGTATAAGAGGGGGCAGAGGAGAAACTCTGTCAAGCTTTCAAGATCATTATTATACCGTCCAACAATAAAGGAGAGTTCCAGTTGTCCTTGTGGAGTCTGTTTCCTAACCTGGCCTATCTTGGAAGCCTGACACATTCTATTGAAAACTGTAAAAGAGACCCCGGCGACAGCACAGAGAAAACACTGAAAGTCTTAGGACTACTGAAAAAGGAATGAAGTGCTCTCATGTGTAACTAGCCATACTTTACTCAGTTTGAAACTAGTTGTATTCACTGAAGAGAAGACAAATGTACTTCCAAAGAAACCATAACATTTTGAGAAGACTGCCCTTTGGTTTCAAAAGTGTGTGCATGGCAATTTTAACTGCTGTAGGATAATCAAAAGGAGAACATTAAGGATCCCTGGAATGAAGATAAAGAGATCCACCATGGTGGGGATGGGCAGGGAAGAAGATGCTGCATTAATTTAGGATTCATCCAAATGGGATGTCCACCTGATCCAACACTCAAGACAGCAGCTAATATGAAGAAATATTCCTTTCCATCTTAAATGCTGATTATATTTTTTTTAAAAAACAAACATTTGTTTCAGCTATCACCTTTGTATTTTAAAGAGTCAAAACTGTGATTAAAAAAAAAGGATAAACAGCTCCAATAAAGTTTAATATAAAATATTTTAGTGCTCAACATAGGTGTCTCCTGAACTGCCCAAACACACTGATTCTGCTTTGCTTTACTTCATCATGAGATGGTAGGGTTACTTGCAGACTAAGCAGTAAATGTGGTCTGCAGATAATTACCGGTTAAGCAACCCTTTTAATAACTAAATTGTGGCTGAGTCACCTATATTCTTTTCACAAAAGGAGTGGAGACTGCTTAAAAGTCAAGTTGCTTGCTGTAGCATTCCCAGGAAGACGGACACTTCACCCTCTATCAGCCTGTTGCCAACAGCATGATGCTATAGAACTTATCTTGTTGCTATCAGTTAAGACTTAAGTAGCTATAAAAATGAGCTAAACAACAACAGAAAACCACACACCAACTATCTTAATCTTTATGGTTCTCAAAAATCCTTTTAATTATCTTTTCATTTTGCAATCTCCTGTTTCATTTGCTTACCCAAACTTGAAACATCTTGATTTTCATTTTACAAAGGAATTAACTCTATTTAGTAGAAATTCTTATCTGCCATGGTTGGATTTTGTATCTCTCATGCTTCAAATTAGAGACAAAGGCACCCCCATAAATCACACAGCAATGGGAAATATTAACCTAACATGCATAGGCAGTCATAGGCAGCTTCAGCCCCAACGGTCACAATGGATACACCTCCCTCTGCACTAAGCTGCCTTTGTCAGCAGGATTAAGTACCTCTGTTAGAGTAAGAGGGTCTAGTTACATTCCTTTTATGCCATACCAAGCTGATTTCTTAGAGGATGGAACCCTGCGAACAGTAGGATCGCTATACCATTAAGAAAAGATTTTAAGAAGCCAATACAAATGCCAACAGACATATATTTTCAGGCACACCTAACAGAAAAAAGAACAGACTGAGTGAAGATCTCTACCTGAGGAATTTCAAGACAGTAGGATGACTCTGACAGTTTAAACAAGCCTGATCAAAAGGACTGTATATGGAACACAGCCTTTTGACATATCCCAAAATTGTAATTGCTTCATTAAAAATGAGCATATATATAAATAATTCTGAACAAGTGCTTCTGTTAGAACAGGTCTGTGCTAGCAAAGGTACGAAGGTATAAAAGTCAGGTTTTGGAATGTCATTTCTATCCCAATATATCCATGATGGAATGGTCTCTTTGCAGCCTACCAAAATTTTTCAGTGTCTCAAGAACACAGATCTGTATTTGGCTTTGCTTCCTAAAGCTCCAAAGAAAATGATAATCATTATTCATATGTAAGACTTCCAAAGGCGTTGGCTTCAGATGATAGATACTTCTGTGCCTCTGAAAGTCATTATTATTATTAAAAAAACTCTTTTAAACCACATATGCTTAAAGGCTCTTCAAAAAGACCGTCCAAAAGGTATACAAATTTTTATTACAATCTTAGTATCTCTCCTAAAGAAAAGCAGCATACAAAGATGGTGTTTTTTTAAAAAAAAAAAATTACCCACATTCAGTAACTGTGCATACTGAAAGCAAAACTACATTTCTCCATACAATTAAGCACTTAATATAAAAGAATTATGTTAAATGCACAAAACAAGCAAAGCTCATTGGTATTTCATTCAAGGTTAAAGTATCTTGGGTCACTTCCTGGTGTCCATTTTTATAAAGTAATTTTTACAGCATCCTAAAAACCGATAAGTCAACCTGTTCCTCTTACAACTCTCGTTCCCACTCTCCCAGAACAGCTCTGCAGGGATCCAGTGTTCAGGATCATCAAGGCCACATAGTCGGAAGCACAGTAAATCTAAAGAGGGACGTAGCATTATTCAGAGGAAAAGTGCAAGGCTTCCTGGTTTGCTCCAGGTTTCCGCAGGACAGCAGCTCCTGCTCCACGGGACGCAGAGATCTGCGGCATGTCTCTTCCAATGATTTCAGTCACTACATCAGAAAAGGAGAGAAGGGTCAGTATATTTTCCTGACTTTCATGAATATCACTTTCTGAGTAATGTATATTTAGACCCCTGTAATACCAGTTACTTCCAAACAGGTTGAGACATCTATCGCAATTCATTTTTCATGAGTCTGCCTTGAAGGTCATCCATAAGCTGGCTGGGGAATTCTGGGAATTGAAGTCCACACATCTTAAAGTTGCCGCAGTTGAAAAACACTGCCCTAAGGAGTTCCATCATACGGGACCCCATAATATGGACTTCTCAATGTGGTATCCTTTACCCCATGTAGACTACCCCAATGAGCTTCCACAGAGAAGTAAAACCTGGCTGTGGGACAGGGCATTTGGAGGTGTTAAGCCTGGGGTCAGCCCCAGTTGGACTGCACCTTTATGGCTTATATTGTTTTCTCTTTGTTCTGCTGTTTTTAATCCTTATTTCTGCTATGTGCCACCCAGAGCCATTTGGAGCTGAGTGGCCAGGAAATGTCAGTACTGTAATCCTAAGTAACTAACGCTAAGCCTTTTGAAAACATGCAAAGCAAAACGAGGCTGCTAAACTTGAAGATCTGTTTGTATCCCCCTCTTCAAAACACAGACAATATAGGCAGACCTACGCGCAAATTTTTTAGACAGATAAAGATTAACAGCACTGAAGATAGCAAAATGTTGCCTTAACTAATAAAAAACACAATAAAGTTGCCATTGGTGACAAATTCCCATGAGGAGACTTTGGGTGCTACAGTTCAGAAAACCCCATCTCTAACTGCTACCTTGCTTTTTCTCAAATGGTGGGGAAATCTATAGAATTTTTATTTAAAAGAATGATTTGTTAAAGATTTCTAACCAGCCAGAAACCCTTTTTTCCCCTTTAAGTAAAAATGAATGGGGCCACCAAGAGGAAGTTCTAACATTTTAGGGCCACTTTTGAGAAAACACTGTCTTAATATCCTGACAAGCTCTTGCAGGTGAACAGTGGGGAACAAAGCCCTAGGAAACAAAAAAAGCTTTGAAATGGTACTGAAGGACGGATCTTCAAATCAAGAAGGAAGAGTCCCTGCAAAATATTTTAAAATATTCTGGTTGTTGAGAAGATGCTGCAGAGTCAGAACAAAACTCACCTGCTCACAAAATATCAAGTGTTAGGAAAAGTTTCCTTTTTCACTGTCATTCTTCAGAAACCTATATCCACACCCATTTAGGGATACGAACAGAACTCACATTTATTTACTGAGAAACAAGAAGCATAGCTGTTTCAAATTGGAGAATGCAATCTGTATGCTCAGCTCCCCCTTCTCCCTTCCTTTTCACAATATAGTTGCTGAAAACTAACAGCCATTTCCACACAGCATTTGAGGCAGCCAAATTTGAGTTTTGCATTAGCTAGCTTTCTTTTTAAAAGCTAATCACTACTGCTTGTTTGCAAAATAAATATGCAACTGAGCAATGGCTTCTCTCGAGAGGTGCCAATTCCCTCTCCGGCTGCAACGCCATATGTCAGCAAGTGTTAGCCATCAGATGCAGAGGACCAACAATGAGGTATTCTGGGAACATCTCTCAAAATAGATGTGGACAACACTTTGATGGGCTACGCTATGATTGGATTCCCCGCCCCGAACACTCTTCTGTATCTGCTTATTTGTCACTGATCCCAAAGACTTGGCAACACCTAGGAAGAAGCTTTTGTTCTTCAGAATACTTCAAAGGATTGGCAGCTTTATGATTTTAAAAGGGTCAAGTTTGTGTTTGCCAAAGTCAGGATTTAGTAGAAACTCGGTTTCTCATTTTACTTTTGTTATATACGGCCTTTCCTAAGTTCCCTGGACTACAGTCTAATTATTTTTAGCCTACCTCACTGTTTCTCAGCCTTGGGAAC